TATCTCTCTCCTTTATCATTTGGCACAGCCCGCCCAGTGCTGAAAATCCACATGCTGCTCCGTGCTTTTCAACACTCCATCCTCAGGTGCTCTAATAACCAGGTTGGTATAATTGCCCACAACTTATGGCCAGACAGTCAGCTGGGCACAGTGACCCAGAAACACTCATCTCAATGCCAAAAATTAATAGTGGTTGTTTAAAATTGTGGCATCAGCCCAGTTGCGAAATTTACTGAAGAAATGCATTTTAGGGGCAAGAAGAAACATCCAGAGTTCCAAATTCAGCTTATGAATCTGTTCTTCCTATTTTGCACTTACCAAGAAAGATCAAGATTTATCCCTTTGGTATGGAAAGCAAATGGGAAGTCTGCATTCAGTTTTAGTACATGAAAACAACTCCTTCAGTGCTTTCTGCCACTATTCTTCATTATATACTTACAAAGAACTTTTCAGATAACTTGTATTGAGTCTGAAAATAAACATATTACCCTGGAATTGATCTTTATACCTACCATAGGATGCTACAGAAGTGGGCACAACACCAAGGCCATTCAAGAGACCTGGCATTGCTGTAGCATTGGAGGTGCATCAGGAGTAAGTACCAGCCCTTCCACCTGAAAGTATTTTAATGCCCTCAGACATTATTTTAATACCCTCAGACATTATTTTAATACCCTCAGACATTAATCAGGACCACCTCCTGCCACAAACTGCAGTCCCTCCACAGCTCCTCCGGTACAATGACTTCTTAATGCGGAAACACAATCAGAGCACTCCTTATCTCAGCCAACCTGTTTTAGATGCCCTTCGGTTAAGGAACAGAAGAGCAGGATTATGTCATAAAGCACCCCTTCCTCGAAGTGAGCTGTTCAGCAAGGCACTGCTACTCCCTCTTGAACTCTACATAAACCCTACTTCTATCAGCTCAGTCCTGCCATCTTTGCAGCATCTGGAAAAGGGACCAGCTCTTCTCCTTTCCTCTCACTATGATTATGCCTGAGAGAGTAACATTACTCATTTTTTTATGTGTGGACATCTAAAAGCATGGCAGGCAATGAAAACTTTGGGAATTTACTGCTTGTGCCTATCCAGAGTCAAAAAATTGAGTTTCTGTGATGGCACAGAGTTCATCTTTCAATATATTTATTTCATTTACAGGATAAACTTGCATTGCTGGCCTGACCCATAATTAACCTAGCAGATACTGTCCGTATTTTTATCAACACTGAGACAACTGCTAGAGGCTCAAAAGAAAGATTAAAAACCATAGCCCTGGGTTATTTAAATCCTCTACAGAGGGAAGTGCCCTAGGAGGCCTGTCAACCATTTTGTTTCCAATATCACTCAACTTCTCCTTCTGCTGCTGTTCTGCAGAAGAAACATGAACTGGAACTGCTTGTGGTGCCTTCTGCGCCTGGGTCACCACGCTGTTCAGGCCGTCCCAGCGCATCCCTCCCGACTGCGTTAAAAAGCATTTAAGTGTTTTTGTTTCAGGAGACAAGCACAAACTTACCAAATTTACTATTGCTGTGGAGAGATGGGTTAAAAAAAATCATCTTTGTGTTTCATAGCCTGTGCCCTACATCACGTTCTAACCGCATTCCTCCATTTTTGGCAACAACACTCAAGTGACAAACACTGTATTTTACATGGAGACATTCCTCAGGCACAGTATCTTTGAGGGGTTTTTTTTCCTCTTCGTAAGTCCAATGGGGTTTTCCAGTCTTTTAAAATGCTCTTAACTGCTCTATTGATTGTTTTCACATTTCTTTCAAAATTTCACAAGGACATACTGAAAAACATTTCTATTAAATGTACTGAAGCTATCACATATTTCATGTCTTATTATAAAAGCTGTCTTCTCAGCTGAAGCCTACTGGACAGATAAGAATTAAGAAACTATTTTAATGTAGACTCTGGCTGTGTTCCTAAATTCTAAAAGTGCCTATACATAAAAATAAAATAAAATTAAATTATCTATTTCCCAGTACATAAAAAAATTAAATCTTACAGTAAAATTGGTTCTCTCTGATCATTTAATTACATTAGAAAGCATTAAGTTTCAAACATCTACATCTTGATACGAGAACAACAAAAACAACCAAACTCAGAATAGGTTTTAACTTCTTTCACTTATATTTTCCTTACCAATTTGTTACCTTCACCTACCCATCTCATTAACTCAAGCATTAGCATTTGGCTGCAAATCAGATCTGCATGTTTTAACTGACTGTTGTGAAATTACTCATGCTCTGCTTGCATAAGCAAACTCGTGTGAAACAGCCTGAGTGAGGACAGTGATGAGAGATGTTTTCCCTCTGCCTCCTCACCAATAAAAAAGCCCTGGCAAGAAGGGACATGTTTGCATAGAGTTTCTACATTACAATAAAGATAATTATCAATTTTTCATGATCTGAATGTGAACAAAAACTAACCCTTGTCACAAATATGAATGGAGGCTTCACAGATGACAGTGGGGGAAAATACCACCTTTTCACTTGGTGTTAGGAAGGAAGAAGTGGTTAAGAGTAGCTTCACTTTTATCAGAAAGAAGGGTGGGGTGAAAGCAAAAGACAGAAAACATTTATGAGTTGTACATCGAGAAAACAGTGTTGCAAACCTTCAGCGAGTGACTGACCTAAAGACAAAAATCATATTGCAATCCTCACGGTGTGACACAGGAGTGTTACAGGACACCTGGAGAAAATGTTCTTATTTCAAATTAATTCTCAGCTGGAGTCAAGGTAAGCCCGTTATATACTAGAATGCTTAGCCCAGCTTTTTCCCCCTAACAAGCTGGTATGGAGCAATTGCTAATAATACTTTTGTTAGTCATTCCAGTGCTGCGTGGCATCGTAAGAATGGCACTGCGTGAGATTTCCACTTGAGAGCTTGTGTGTCCCAAAATAAAAGGAGAAGAATACCGATCTGCAAAGATGAAATCATTCAAAGGAAATGAAGCACCTTATAAAATTTACAAAAGGCCGTCAGATTAAAGTACTAACACAGGAAATCCAAGAAAAATACAATTGTCTCAGAGTAAGATTTAATAATTAAAGTTTTTTTTATTTCTTCACTTTTTCCTTAATACAAAGCTTTGGCATCAGCAAATTTTATGAAAAAATAGAATGTACTAAATAATTGCTTGTGCTGCATGATCGATAAATGATGCATAAAAAAATGGGTGTCTCTCTCCAAGGCAATCGGCCAGAAAGCATTTCTTCAATACCATTCTGCTCTGTGGGACAGAAAAAAGGAACAAAATATTTATATTAAAGTGAATACTGTCAATAACCCCCCCCAAAATCCTGTAAAAGTAAGTTAGTGAGAAATGACAAATTATACAAGGCCAGAGCATTAGAAGAGGTCTGTACGCCTTACAGCATTTCTACAGGACCAGTAAAACAGACAAGACAGCCACAGGTTTGGGCACTTCTAAACTTCCAAGGAAAATCCATCTGCTACTGAAAACTTTCTCTGAGTGGTGCTATCCAACATCTGGGCTTTTTGGACTTTAAAACCACAGTTATAGAGTAATTTCTGACCCTTCCTTAAGAAGTAAAGCAAGAAATGCTTCTTTTGTTCCTTTAAATCACTACCTAAATCATTTTTAAAAAGTGCATGAATATTATGAGACCAAGAGAAAGCAGCTGGTTCCTTATTTTCTTATCACTTAGACAATGTTTACTTTTATCAGGAACTATTTTAAAATGCATATGTGTGTATATATATGCACACAAACATATATATATACAGTTAGATATGTATATACACACACAACTCCAGAACTATTGTTCTAAACAAATATGTTTAAGCTGTGGGAAGGACACAAGAAAAAACCCAAAGAATCAGGACATGTTTTTAGGTGAGTTTTAATGCAGACTATTTGGCACCTTTTACTTGCATCAGCATATTATGTGGCCTCATTCTTGCTACTGTTGTTTTCTGATAAGAAAAAGCCCTCGGCTTCTTCCTGAAACACTACCATAATAAACGTAGCATATACCAGCATTGGTTTTTATATGGAGAACAGCACAAAACCCAGGTATGCTGTTATGACATTTAATGGAAATTGCAGCAAGAGGGAGCTGCCATATATTTGGCATGATACTCAGCACAGGAAATGCTTTGCCTGGCACTGGGGAACATAAGGTGTCAATGAAACAATAAATCTAAGCATTAGTGTCACACATAATGCATTTTAAACTGTCTAAAATGAGTAGTGGAACTTGTGGAGGCTGCTTAGATCCCAAAGGATTCAGTCGAATAGCTGTTGAGGTTAAAGGCTACAGCTAGGTACCTCAGTTACGCAGATAAGTGATTTTTTGACAGCTCTGGTTTCTGCTGTTAGTTTTCTTAAATCTGCCTCAAAGCATACACTTGCATATGGGGGCATTTTCATTCCTATCACTGAGGAAAGCAGCTCTCCTTACACCAGCCTGCCCTTTGTTTGTACTAAGGGAACATCCCTGTGAAAACACTTCACATTGGCAGAGAATTAGGGCCTCCAGAGAAGAAGGTTGCCCTTTCAGTAAAAATAGACCCAGATCTCACTGAGCAAAAGACAACAAAAAGAAGAGTTGCAAGGGAAAGCAGAAATACAACTGCTATCAGTGCCCACATCTGGATGATACTACTCAGGCTGCGTTCCTTTGTCTTCTTCCTAACGATGTGGAAATGCCCAGAAATGCAGACATTCCCGTTTTGCAACCCATCTTGCTCCATGCCTTCCCAAGCTATTTTTCAGTGCAGATTTACCACGTTCAGCTACAGCTATGTTGCCAAGATCCTGATTAATAGTTGCAATTTCAAGGTTTTGACAAATGGCGGGGGGGGGAAATCAGGAGACTCGGTAGGGCTATTTGAAGTTCTAAATGTTTTCTTCATTAAGCCCTTTTGGAATTAGCCTCTGAAAAGAGGAGGAAAGGAAGATTTGCAGATTAGTGGTAATCGAAGGTTCCTGATGACCAAAACCTCTAAGGACTTATTATTGCCCCTCTTGAAGATTAGCTTGAGACTGTCTTAAAATTTTACGCTAGGGACTATTAGATATATTTCCATCTTATTGAGAAGGACACCTTATACTTTCCAGACAGCCATAAAAGTCAAAACCCCACTTATTTCTCTTATCTCAAAACAACAACAAAAAGGAAGTTATATTTATAAGGCTAGTTTCCAGGCTGCACAGGAGACTGCCTTCAAATCTCACCCCACTTTTGGTTAGAGATCACCATACTTAATGGAAACTCAGCTGTGTCAAGATGTTCAGAGACCAAAGATAGACATTGACACTTTGCCTCCCCAAATAAATTATGATTAAATATATATCATGAGCCCAGATGTTCCATACACCTAAAATGAAAATAGCTAGATGTACCTAGTTAATGTATCTCCAGAACAGATTTATACTCGCCCACACACAGAACTATAAAAAAAAGATTGAAATACACATGCTAGAGTCATTTCTTGTCCAGCCTGTCTGAAGGGAGGCATTGGAGATATCTATAAAAATTAAGAAAGCATGGATGTCTAAGCACTCCTGTGATTGCAATTCTCAAGCATACTAAAATGAGAGGTCAGAAGACTGGTCTGCTCTCTTCACTTGACAGAAAAACCAGTAGTGTATTCATTGCTTTCATCTCTCCCTTTAAGAGCAAAGGGATAGCTTTCTATTTAAATACCTTTTTTCTGAGCGGAAAGTGTGCCAACTAGGAATACAAATTATTATTATTATTATTTTTAATATGAAGTTTGACTAAGAAATTGAGGTGAAAACTGTCAAAAGGTAACTCATGATAATAATTTCTGGCTCTGCCAGATGAATTTTGAACATGGGGATTTAATGCCAGAAATTTAATGTTTACCTAGACCACTGATCAAAAACTGAATATAAATGTTCTCTCTTTTCCCCCTTCCATGTCTCCACTTGGCAAGGAGATTTCCTCGGACAATCCGGCTAAATATAAATTAAGAGAGACTTACCCTGGAACCTACTGCTAACAGACTTACATTTCAGAAAAGCAGAAAAGGCATTTGACACTTTGAAAACTGCATTTCCCCCCTTCTCAATTCTCTGTTTGCTCCCAGTGTTGTCCACGACACACACCCACCAGAAATATATAGAAACGTATCAAGATTTACTTACTCATTAGCATTCAAGCTAGCTGTGGCTTTGATGATCATGTAGCAGAGTGTAAGGGCACTGAGGAGGCCAAAACTGGCAATAATAAACCATTCTTCTGTTGACAAAGGAAAGGGAGGAAATCACTCGTGGGAGAAGGCTTATGTCAAAGCGATGCCAATATTTCCCTCAAACACCACTGGCGGAAGGCAAGAGGCTTCTAAGCCACGAGTGGCACCAGGAGGTGAAGCAGAAGGAGGTTAGCCACAGAGTTACTGACTGGAGAAGGCTAGCAAAGAAGAAGTGGAGAGAGGTGTGGAAAAAAAGCATGGCACAACAATATTTCCTGGCTGAGCCCAAGGGTTAGTGATAAGAAAGATTATTTAACAATGTAAGGTGAAATGCAGGAACGAGGGAAAATGTAATGAAAACTCTGTCCGCCCCCAAGACAGAAAAGGTTGTCAGGGTTGGTTTAGATTTGCTGAGATGCAGTTCTTCACGTAGGCATACCCAATACACTTTCACACAAATTTTGTCTTCGTCCCCTCCCTCCTGAATAAATGCTATAGCATTACTTTAAAAAAAACCAACAAAAAATAGGATAGCTTGTTCAACAGTAAAACATAACTAGTTTTCCACTTAGAGAGGAATACAACATGGAAAAATAATTTCAACATTAGAATATACATACAGGCACATTACAGAAAAGTAGTACAAAGAAGGCTATTAAAGAATGTTCACTATTCAAAGTCCTCCCTTCTCAAGATCAATTTGACACATAGTAATAGATTAGAATACAAACACTTTTGTTGAATATAGCTTTTGGTTTAACTCTCATGCATCAAAGAATGCATGTGTCATCCATGCAATCCAAACATTTGAACAGCCTTTTCTAAAGCTTTATTTTATAAACATTGTCAGAATGCACTGTTGCTGATTATTTCTTGTTTTACCCTGGCATCCCATCTGTGCAAGAGCAGTACTACAGTTGCGAACAGACAGTAAAAATACCTTCTGTAAAACCAAGTAGTGAAAAGTTCCAGTTAAACTACAGAGTTTTCCCACCCATGACAAGGAAAGCAGCACACCAACAGATTTGCTCTCTGTTCAGTAATGCTGAATTCAAGATGAATTAGGTGTTGAACACTGCATGACAAAGTGACTTACTGGCTTTGTAAAGAATCTAGATTTTTGTAAGTGGATTTTTCCTTCTCAGATCAGGACACTTCTGGATATGGACTATGTGTTTCATAAGCTGAGATTTTTTTTTTAAATGAGACATTTACTTTGCTACAGCATCTAAACACTCTAATGGAATGTATCAGTTTCACTGCCTCTTTTTTATAGATATCAGTACCACTGAGTTCAAAATCTAGATCATAGATGCACATAAGCAAAATACAAGGAGAAAATTAGACTGTCCTACTGCATGGGTTCTATTTTTGCAATTCTGCCAGAAAAACAACCATTCATGCATCAAATTGAGACTGTACAGCATATGGAAAAATGATGCTATTCCACATATTGTATTCATTATAGTGCTATTATACACTAAAAAGCCTAGGTAAAATCCAGTGAGTGGAAATTTCCCATGCTGTTCTTATGGATAAGAGCTTGCAAGCAGTGCAGGAACAGTTTTCTGATGTCATAAAACACTTGGACAATACTCAAATGTTGGTACATCAAACAGTGTTTCTTAATTGACAAATTTTGTAAGAAAAAACATCTGCTAAGAGACATCAGAATTCTAGTAGTAATGTTCTCTGGGGAAAAACATTTGCAGAAATAGCAATCAGCTAAAGTATTTATATTTGTATAAATTATTGCAGGTAAAGTATTCTGAAAGGGTAAATACTAGTTTTAGCAATCCAGCTTCTCATACTGGTTACCAAATTCAGAAGGGTTATTTCGTTGCCATTTTAGTTCATCCAGTGTTCTTTGCATGCAGATCTAAATGGATATACCATTAATAATGAAGGCGTTGGCACTGTCATACTGAGAGTGATTGGTTTCAATATGTAGTGTATGCCTCTTATGGAGACACCGAGGTCACCTTTGTCCCTGCAGGGAAATCTTTCACTGTGGCCCTGCAGCACAGAGCTACAGCTGAGCAAGCGCCACACACCAGGAAAACCGTAGAACCATACTGGAAGCCAAAAGAAAACTTACTTGTCACAGCAATGTTGATCTCTCCTGACCTTGGTGTCAACTCTCCATCCTGTGGAAGCTGTGACATCCCAGAGGTGCGCAGGGGCTCCAGGCTGAGAGAGCTGTCATTGGCAAAATCACCGAGTGCTGATCGCCTGCTAGCTGGCTGACCTCTGGTGAGCCTTTCCATGTCAAAGGCTACGTTATCTGTACATGGCACGTTTGGCTGGAAAAATAAACAATTCTACATTACAACAGTGAATATTCTACATGTAGCAAACCTTCAAGCCACGAGCTTGAAGAAAACACTCTGGCCTCAGCTAGGGCATGGCTTTTAACGTGTAAACCACACACACTATTCAACCACTATGGCTGTCCTCAGATCACACAGGAGATGCACACAAATTAGCAAGTTCTATCTGAAGTTGCTTCTTCAATCCATCTTAAAGAGGTGGAGGAAGAAGCAGAAAAAAGGATTAAGATTCAAGAAAGGGACTCAAATACGCTTGTATCACAGCCTATGCCATGAGCAATGACAACACAAATCTAATTCTACTGTATCCTCCTGTAAAAATCCAGGTATATTATTAATTGCAAACACAGATCATCCACAATACATTTGCAACTATTTCTTAGAAAACGTGCAAATTTGCAATTGACACAGCTACAAATGGAGGCCTGATGATTCTCACTGGCTTCATTCAAAAGCCGCTTTAAACAGTATCTTCATATGCTCTTCTCTTTCTTCCTTATTTCTTTTTTCTGAAAAGAGCATCACATCCCCCTTACAACTTCTTCCTCATATGGGAAAGACAGAAAAATCCTCTGAGGTTCTTCACTTCTATCCGTTTGTGAACTGGTCAACAAAAGCAGTCCCCTCAGGGGTCCCATAAGCCGTGAGCTTGAAGAAAACTTGCTGGCCTCAGCTAGGGCATGGCTTTTAACGTGTACACAAATTTAAGAGTGTCTATGGGAGACTGCAACAAGAACAAGAGATTTACAGAGTAAATTTAACAAAGAAGGGTTGAAAAGTTCAGAAAGGAAAGATTATAGAGAACCTAGTAAACATCCAGCAGATAAGAAATTGTTATAAGTAAAAAAATATAACAATATATTCCCAATGACCATCCAGGAAAAGGAATAACAACAACAACAAATCAGCTTTATTTAAATTGGTAAAAACACTCAAACACTTTCTGACTAAGGGTACTGGAACACCCTTCTCCCTTTTTCCCCTACAATTATTCTTCCTGTTCTGGGTCTCAGACACAGGAGGAAGAAGAGCTCACAGTGCAACTTACCACAATTCCCAGTGCCTTCAAAATGTTCAGTTTACACATTGGACATGTACAGTGCTCACTAAGCCATGGATCCACACAGGCTTTGTGGAAAACATGCCTAGAAGAACAGAGAAGGCACATATATGATTTGCGAACAATTCTATTTTTCTACAATGAGAACTACTTTAACAAACTTTTAGATAGTTTCTTTTTAATTAAGCCAGCAGAACCCATTCTAGAATTGCCAGTATTCTGTGCTGATTGCAATAAGGAAAAAAATACAATCAAAACCTCTTGCTTGTTTTTGCTGCCACCCTTTACTAATAGTTCAACTAGGAAGAAACACTTGAAGATTCCCCCCCGCCCTTTTATTGTGTATATGTGTGCGCACATGGGCAGAATAACTAGGGTAACAAAGTCCCCACCATAACCTTGCGTAACGTCTTGTCTCAATTTCTGTGTAGAACGTGGCCATAAATTGGGTAGGAAGAGCAACAACCCACCAGTAGTCAGTTTTATTCAAAAGTCAGTGCAACCAACCCAAATACGTTTATGTTTGATTTTGAAAGGGCTTTTATAAATATCACATCTAAGTAAAAAGAAGGCTTTTCCTACAATCAGTATTTCTTCATATCAGGAAGGAAAACAAGCCCATCATCATATGATGGTCATAAAAAAAAAAAGAACCTTTCAAAGATTAAAAGGCAAACTGGGTTTCTACTTGCACATCAAGGAACTCTACAATGGAGAACAGTCGGAATTACCACCTACACTGCATACAAAAATCTTAGTCATGTACATGAATATAAATGTAAATGTCGGGACTGAGGTAAACCAATGTAACGAGGAAGGACTACAAAGAGACTGAAACATATCTATTAAAGGAAATGTCCTCTTGGCTTTTCAAAAGGCAACGGACTTTTCAGAGAGTACTCACGGCAGAAATGGGTCTCGCTAGACTTTCTACACAATACAGCTTTAGCAAATACTCATAATAACCTAGTCTGAATAATTGCTTATGATAAGAATCCAGATCTTTCATTTCCAGTGGTACTGACTGCAGAGCAAAAAGCCAGTAAGAGCAGGCACACCCAAACATGACAGACTGGTGATCATGACAAGGATCAGCAATTACGAGGGCTGCTTAGCAAGCGAAGAGCTGTGCTCTAAAACCAGCAGGTGAAGGAGCAGTGGCAGAACAAGGAGTTCTTGCCATCTATTTGAGGCATCAGCACAGTGTAAGAGGTCACGCATGCCCCCAGGGCAGCATAAAGTTGCAATACTCTCTGTCCCCTCATTTCTCAGGTTATACTTGCTGCTCTGTGCCTCAGTAAACTCATCATAGGGTTTGGGACTTCTTTGCTCCCTATCCCTTGGGATTTACAACCTGAGACCAAATGAGGCACATTACCAGATAATTCTCTTTTAAACATCTGGAAAATGACCAGTGAAAAAGGCCTCATGAGTTTGTTAACAAACATAGAAAAAGATGGTATATATATGTTTTGTCTATGGCTACTAAGACTGATGGAAGGACTAAAGTGTATCAACATAATTAGGTTCCAGTCCACTACAACTATTTATCCTACCTGTACTAAAGATTCATAGACTTACAGAGTATAATATAGTCATCAGAAGATGGTCAGGGAGCAAAAGAACTTTGCTTATCTATATCCCAGATATTGTAGGAATAGAAACATACAGAATCTCAGCCAGTCACTTTGCCGAACTGAGGCTTTTAGCAATACAGCAGTCACAAAACCCAGGATATATACATTGTTTGCTATTCAAGTAATAGCACAAAATACAAACTCACTTCTATCGTTATTAGATCTGAACACATTTCCCTTATTACTCACAAAACTACAGGAATCAATGTTTAGAAATCCTGGGTGATAGAAAATAGTTTGAAATCTTCTGAAACATAGAGATATTATTTTTCTGTTAGGCAAATTATGGCTTTTAGTTACTTATGTTTCCTTTAAAGAGTCTGAAGTCTGTTTTTTTGAGGAGGCCAAACCTGAAAAATCTAATATTTTGGGAAACAACAGACATCAAGACTCCACAGAACTATGAAAACAGTTTTAATCTATCGTTATCGGCTAATCAGTGCTGTAGAAGCACTCAGATCAAGTGAAGCAGGCGACTGATATGGATGCCAACATGCATCTGCTAAATATTATGAATTATTTTAAAGAGTCATTAGTGGTTTGATATAGTTCAAAAGCACCAAAACAGCTCAACTATTTTTGTGACCTCTTAATTCTTTGCTTTTAGTTCCTAAACCTTCAAGGACATTTATCAATGTGTTTCAAAAAAGTGCAGTTCCCCAAAGGTTATTTATTGATTTAAGTCAGCATGGCTCTGCCTACTACTTATACAGTTTATCTACTCCTTAAAAAGCTTGCTGATACCATCATCGCGGCTCAGGCTCTGTCTGGATTTCTCTGCTTGTGCAAGAGTTAAAAAGCAGTTATACAGCAATAGTAAGCACATGAATTATTTTAAAAACTTCAGTCTGACACAGTAAGCCCTTTCATTTTCTGCTATCACAAACCTTCTCCATCTTCATATTTGTCACTTGTTCCCCAAGACCATAAATCTGAAGAGTTCTTAGCAAGTTGCTCTAGGTCACAGCAGCTGATGATGTTCCCTCAGGAGTCACACAGCGGGGAGTCAAGTGTGACACAGCTTTTGCCGCTTCTCCAGCCTCGGGGCTGGAGGAAGCACGGCCAGCAGCCAGGCTGGTAGCACTGAAGGAGTCTCCCATGTGGGCATAACTCCAAACAGGTGACCCGCAGGTATTTTTCCACTCTGTCAGCATACCCAAGCCAGTTGCCCTCCAGGTTGTCATAAACACCATAACGCCAGCTCTGTTGTACAACACAGCTCCTTTGCAGCATTTCACAGAGAAAAAGTGAGTTAGAAATCTCTTTCAGTGGTGTAATGCCTCTGAATTCGCATGTCACACAAGGAGAAGGGTTTGAACGAGTTTACAAGTGCTATTTCCCAAAAGCTCACTACACTTCCCTGCTTTCAGTGCACCATCGCAAAGGAACCTGGATCAACATTGTGCCTGCAAAGTAGCATCCTTGGCTACTGCTGGAGGCAGCTGCTCCCCTTGCCCCGGGGTGCAAACCTCCCAGCCAGGCAGGCAGCAGCACACAGGTCCTTCCTGCCCTGCTGCAGGCAGCCCATTGCAGCTAGCACAGCGGAGGAGGGAATGTCTGGCTTGCTGCGGTGGGGAGGAAGGCACCATGTCTCCAGCCCCAGCAGGCAGTTCCAGAGGAAAGCAGCCTCAGTACTTTCCACAAATACATAGTGCTGCTGGGGGAAAAGAGAGACTGCCTTTGCAAGCAGGTGGTGCAGAAGCATTACAGTAAGAGGAAAGGATGGCATTGAGATATTGTGTTACTTTACTCTTAAAAAAAAAAAGCTATTTGCAGCAGCACAGAATCAAACTAATGGAAGACTAGCTTAGTTGCTTTTGTCACTTTCCTCCTTCTTGCCCAGTACAGGAAATACTAAGAGTTTGACTCAAAAGCCATTTATTTTAACATATTCACTACTTAATTTCTCTTCCTACCTTGTAAATTCCTTCTTTCCCAGGCCATCTTTCTGCCCTTTCCAATGTCAGACCGTGCTTTTCTCTAACCCGTCACTTTGCTCTTCCCTTATCTCTCACTAGTCCTTCACACTACCCCCTCCTGATCACTTTTCACCCAGTGCCCCTTCATCTCCTAGATGCAGCACTGTGATGGTAAAGTAAAACTATCTGAATAAAGAAAATTGTCCATGAGGTTTGTCTTTTGCTAGAATCCTTCTGGCTTTTGCTTACAATATTTATTTTTCACTTACATAATGACATTCACAAAAGACAGACGTTCCTTGGGCCTGTAAGCCTAGGACAGGTGGCTGCCTTATCCCTCTGTGCACTAAAAGCTATAGGTACGTCCACAGGCTGCTGGTGCTGAACATATTTCTCTCGGAAGCACAAAATGAATGATAGAAATTTGACTGTTTGTAATATTTTTCATTTTAGTTTATTTTTAAATTGGCCACAGGTTCCCGCCTGCCACAAAACTTCACATCACAAATATGCTCTTTTGCTACAGAATTTTAGGTGCAACTTGCTCAGCTAATGGTAGGTTTTGCCTGCTGTGTGTCTGCCAAGACCAGATTCCTCTCTACTGAGGCAAAGAGTGACAGATCACACTTATCTGCAGAGAACAATTGTGGTACCAAAGGGAAATGCTACTTTTAAATTGATGAAAGCAGCAGGGATGTCATATGTCAGTGATTCCTACTGTCTAATGATTATAGCTTCCTCAACAGACATGGTAAGAAAAACTTCTAGCCTTTCATTTGCTTCCTCTTGGTCAAGCCATTTTCTCCACAGTTTTCTTGCATTTTCTCATCTGGCTTAGAGACTGTCTTGTAAGGTGGTATGTGTGGTGTTTTTGTTGTTGACTTTTTTTTTTAAACTAACTTTGAATGTTGCACTAAAATGAGAGGTTGAAGTATCAGGAACTATAAAGGGATTAAACCTCCAAAACAAGATTTGGGAAGAAGCATCTCAGATGCTGAAGACTAAAAAGTCTTACATGCAATCTGAAATCTACCGATTGGTCCTTCATCTACAAATATAAAAATGTCTTGCAGAAGGCATTCATCCCAATGTTTCTGTCTAGCCAAGATGGTTTTGCACTGAACTCAAAGCTGAACTGCAGCAGATAAAAAGTGAGATTTAAAAAAGAGAAGTAGAAAGTGAACATAAAAGTTATCATACAGCCTTCGGCAGGAATGTAATCTGAGCCTCCACTGACCTTATACTCTTGTTGAAAACAGAACAGAAAAGGATCTACACAAGAGCTTTGATATCTCCTTTACAGGGGAGATTGCACTGGGGAGGTTGTGCTGAGATGGCAGCCAGGTGTGCCTTCATCCAGCTCCCTGAATGTGAAAATGACTGAACTGTAGAAAAGAAATACACACACACATCCACGTGACCGAAGGCTCCCAAATCTTTACAAATCCAAGACCAATCTCTTCTATTTCCAAATATTTTAATGGGTGTTTCTAAACAAACATTCGTAGGGTATATTAAGTAAACAACAACACTGAGAATCTACAACAGTTCATTGTTTATCACAGTCCAAGAGGTAAAGAACAGAGAAAAGTAAACTGAATTAAACTTCTGGCTTCAGAAGTAGAATGCACACCTATTTCAATCATTAAGATATAAAATAATACCGTCTGACTTTTATGATGATAGAAATTCATTATGCATTAGAAGAAAAATATTCCAGCTATTCAGAGCAGCCTGCACTGCAGGAGGATTTGAGAAGACCGATAATGAGCTCTTATGCGCTGCTGCGTGACTGAAGCTCAACTCCAACACCATGACTTTGTTGCTTCTACAGTATCATACACTATTTATATACCAAATGCAGGCCAAATTACTGGATCTTGGCTGCATATATACAACATAACTTATACATGTATTTTTTTGTGTCTGGAGATAAGGAGAAAGCTTTGCATTTCAGAATACAAGGGAAAGATGTCCTTGGTAATGCTTAACACTACCAAAATGTACTGCTTCATCAAAACTAATCACCAGGTGGAAAAGCACTTAAAAGCATTTCTCAAAGAGCAAATATCCCAAAACAACTCAAGAATGGAAGTGAAATGGAAACAAACTGAAAACCTGTAAGTGTCAAGAGAACAGCATAAAAAGAGGAAGAAGTTACATTTTAAGTACCAACACAGAATATCCAGCAAGTACGAATCTTCAGGCGCAAGCCAAGAACACACTGCACTGGAGATACCCAAGACAGATGATAGCACTGTGGCTGATTGATGTCAGAGGAGGTATGAAGGTTGGAAAGATTGCATTTCTGTTTCCTACAGAAACCATCAGCCAACCTTGCCCATCTACTGTACAGAATGCTGCAGCTGTACCTGGTTCATTATACTTAAGTTTTTTTGTGTCCATCCACTGCTCAGTCCTCAAATCTGCACACACCCCCCTTAATCTTAATGGCTCCACTGCTGATATGCCCAAACCGCCCATCTTCAAGATCATAATCTTTTGTTTAATCTCTACTGTCATACCAGTGCCAGCACCCACCTTCACACCTTCTGGTATGATAGTCTAAATTAAAGTGCCTGTTATTAGGACTGGAAACATCTAACAAGTGTGTCTGAAAATTACAATGCACATATTATATGAAATGAAGCAAAGGAGCACAAAGAAAGAACAGTTTCCAAACAAAGCAACTTTACTAGCTTACTTGCATGGTAAAATGCGAACAACATCGTTCTGCTTGTAACTCTCAATGCAGACAGCACAATGATCAAAGTCTGGGTCTGTTTCCTAAAATGAATAAAATGAAAATTCAGGTCAAGAGTTGAGGCTATGACAAATGTAAAAGTAGTTGTGACTAGTACATGAACTGCATTGTGCCAAGTGGCTGTTACTAAGAAGATACAAAACCAATGACTGGGTTATTGTATTCCAACATGACTTGAGAAAGAAAAGTATCTCATACGTACAAAACCCTCCCCTCATTTGGAGCTAGTAAACGATAATTTGAAACATAGGTTAAAGCCTAAGATGTTTCTAATATTCCGTTGAATCACTATAAAATATAGTAGTGAATTTCCTAGTGACTTTACTTCAGCTTGGAGCTTTCTTCTTTCACGATAAGAATCATGGAATTCCCTTTTATAACCAGAACTAGCAATTTTTACTTATTTCAGAGTAGCCTCATATTTCTGACTGCTGCTTACTTGCTGCATTATCATCATTCTTATCCAGACCTGAAGCTGGGAATCACTGACTGGCTCCTCTCTTACTCTGTTTTCCAGAAGTTATGATTTTTTTTTTAAATTATTTTTAAACATAAGAATTTAAAGTTTCTAATGAAAAAAGGCTGACTTCATTTGGATGTAGCTATAGCATCAGCCATATATATTTAAAATATTTGGGCATGTGACATAAAACAGGCTGTGCCTTCTTCTCAGTTCAAGTTCATTAGCCTTTTCAATGCCATGAAGCTACTAACGAGACAGAGACAAGAACCACAAGAGCCACTCCCTGGTCAACACCAGCCAGTGCTGCACGCATAGAATCCCGATGGGCCGCTCTGATGAAGGACAGGTCTTCTCCCACCCTCTTGTTCACCTGTGTGTGCATCTCATGCTGTCTGTACTGCAACCTACGTGTCACTTGCCAGTTTTGAATTTATGCTGTCAAGATGACAGCATCTTTTCTTTTAATATGGAAAAGCTCCCATTATCTATATGTACTCCCATACTCACAGAAAAGATTTAGTGCAATGGGCTGTCTTGAAATAAAACTACATAGGGAGGAAGAAAGAGCAGAAGGACATTTTTTTCTGCCTTGTCTCTGGAAGCAAATTTTTCCATCATTTCCCAATCTTCTGTTGCTGATAGTGTTGATAAGATGAAAAGGAATCACAGTAAAAAGGCCCAAGGAAATAAATTTTCTCTTAAAAATCAAGTCATAGCCAGAATTCTCTTGCCTTTTGCAAGTTAAAGACCAAAAATTAAGCAAGATTAAGTGACTATTTTTTCCTTTCAGAATTAAAGACAAAGCTCATAAAAGTGGAAAACATTTAGGACTCAACACACCATAATATTTTAGTTTGTATACTGGCCAGAAATATTCTTGGAGTAACATTTACTATCTTTAAATACCTGTTTATACTCCACCTCAGATTACTGAATTTTCATATTTTACAGATGAGATTGTCCTTTATCACCTGTTTATTTTTACTTTACACAACTTACATATGCAATTATTCCAAGCTTACAGAATTCCACATAAACAAAAAAAGTTAGCCCTATGTACTCCTACCAGCAAAAAACCCCAGCCAGCTAGCACACAAAACCACTCTCAGCCACAGTTGCCAGATGAAGTTCAGGTAGTATTTAAGCAAGAAAAACTTCTTTCAAATGTACAGGCTTACAGCATACATTGATACCAAAAGCTACACAAAATAATGTGGCAAAGGACAAAGTAAGCCTCCAACAAGGAAGGCAAGGTCATAAATCACAAGGAGAAAGGAAAAACTGAGATTGTTTCCCCTGGCAAAAATTAAACATGATGCTCAAGTTTACAATGTTGAAATCTTATTATTATACCTTATCACCCTTCTTTACTGTCCTGGTTGTCAATTTACCGATGGCTTTCTTGGCAGCATCTCCAAGACGACGCTAATAAAGTGACAAAGAAAAGAACACAAATTAACCCTGATAATCCAGCTTCATTACTGTCCTTTATAATGACTTATTTGGGCTCAATACTAACATTGCAATACACACTATGGCAGTAGGCCAACACATAAGACAAAAAGCATATGCAGCAAAGCCCATAGTTAGAGATTTGTCAGGAAGGCAAAAAAACAACAGTTGAGCCCACAAATGTACTCAATAAGCATGGACCGTATAAAAGTCCACAAAAGTGATCCAACATTTGTGTGACAAAATTAATCAAACCCAGCCAGCAGGATAAAAGCTGAAGCAACATGCCCTCCTGATGATTTCCATTATATTCTGCTCATGTTGCTTTTTATTCTGTGTGCTATAATATACCCCTTGCTCTCGTAAGCTTGAATTATTATTTCGCCCCTCCAAGCAAGCTGATCTTATTCTGAGATGTAAGAGATCTTCTCAGTGTAACCTAGTTTCTCTCTCGCTATTACCTGAAGCCACCAGGACCTCAAAAAAAAAAAAATATAGGTCATGAAATCTAAATAAGCCAATACAGACTTAAATAAAGCTGAAATGAATAGTGGTTTGAAGATGAACCTCAATGTGAATGCAGAGGCCAAGCTATTTTTTTGTTGTTTATGCTGTTTTTATGACCGTTGGAAGGAAGGAGCCATTTCTACAATTCAAGTGCCGATTCCTACTGCAGTGCCCAGCTCCCAGCCAACAAAGAACGGCTGTTTGCCAGCTGGTCTGTGGGAGCCCAAAGATGGAGCATTGAGTGGAACAAAGCTTGTGCCTTCTTGTTTCAGGAACCTGAGACATCAGATTTAGTTTACATTGACTGGAAAAAGGGAAGGTCATGTATTTTATCCTTCACCTCCATCTTGTACTAAGTACTCTGCCTTTGAAAGAGATGGGCTGTTCTGAAGAATGTAATCAAAACCTCCCACAAATGTGTGGGTTTTGTGCCCACCTTTATACAGTTGAAAATCAAATCCTTCATAAGGAGTACCTCCACCCATATCATACACTTTCTCTACATACAAACTGAAACTAAGGCAGCTGGTTTTATTTGAGAAACACAAAGACCTCAGATGTCCACTGCAAGCAAGTGTTGTGTATCACCATTATTCTAGAATTTTTTTGGGGTGTGGTTTCCACAGAAGAACAGCTCTTATATTTTTTAGAGCATTAATTTTAAAACAACAACAAAGCAGATACTTAGTCTCAACTACTGAAGTATATCCACATGGGGAACGCAGCATCAGAAATAGAGCTGGGATTGGGAAATTACATGCTTCCTGAAGTCAGATATCTAATCCTAACTTCAACATGCGAGAAATTGGCCAATTTAAGCAAATCTAAATTACATGGCCTGGAACAAGCATATTGGCCTGAGAACTTAATGACACAGAACACACTGGCACACCACTGGAATAGATAATCATTGCATAACCAAAAGTGTGATTACTAAGAGAGGAACAAGGTTGAAAAGGATTTAACTTAAATGCTCAACACTCCAACAAAGTAATCGAGGGTAGTATTTATATTTAGTTGTAGCGCAAATACAATCACACGCAGTACAAGAAATTTTAAAGAAAGATTATTTTCTTATTGGAAGCATATTTCAGCAAAACTCTTCCAAAGGGTATACATGTTCTCTTACATAAATTTGCTGAATAATAACGTTCATGTCTCCCATTTAAGAGATCCATCTCTTTCATTTTCTAATTTTAAGAAATACTTTCTTATGCTAACATTGGAAATGCTCAGGATTTGCCATTTTGATAAGTTAGGGCATAGGTATACAGCATATGCTTGCTTTTAAACCCCAGAACTTTCTTGATGGAAAAAGGCCACCACCACACGCAAGTGTTTCATACCTCTGGCGGAAGTGCACAAAAGTAGAGATGTGAAATATCAGTATCTACTTGCACTATCTACAAAACACAGTATGTTTTTGATGTGTTTTGATTTGTTGTTTTTTTTTTTTTAAGGTGTGCCTCAACATAACTAAAAAACAAGATCATAGCCTAAACCAAGTTATTTCATCACTAACAGTACAGCTTTCTCTCTGTGAAAGCTCTCAAAGCTCTTTAAAAATAAGCTGTAGCTGTCGCCACCTTCTTATTAAAGTTTAATAAGCTCAGCTTTTTAAACCACATAAAATTTTCATCAAGTTTCTCCTGACCTTTGTGAAAATCTAAAGAAAGAAAAAAGGTCATAAGAGCCCTTTCCCCATGGAGCAACTGTTTTGAAACACGGACATTTGGAAGAAGCCTAGAACCATGTAGGGGATGCAGTAGGCACAATTTAGTATTCCGCAGACATTCATTGAATTACAGTTATATTTAAACTTTCCCCATCCCAAGGGACCACACTAAGTACCGGTTACAGTGTGGTCATTTAAGAATGACATCCTTAGGAAAAACTACAGGATGCCCATGGGACCTGCAGCATCAGATACTATTTATAGAAACTAAAAAGGAAATCCTTTGTCACAACTGAAGCTTTATAAGTTTGCATTTGTTTTAGGTTTGACAAAACACCAAAGCACTGCCTCAGAGTGAGCTCCTGTCTATTAGTCGTAATTTGGGGGAAAGGGGGGACAGTGAGTGGAGGTCAGCAGCTCTGTAAGTTAGCCTTGACAGAGAGATACAAAGGCAAAGAGAGCACAGCAGATTTCCTGAGGTTTACTGACCCTTCTCAGTAAAAGCCAAGGCATACTATGGAGGCAGTGAGTCATTAAGTCCACACTAGTAAAACATTTACTTCTAAAGTTTAATCCATATTTGAGTTGATGACTTGAATTAGTCAAGATCCGAGTATGACTATACTTAATTCAGTTTTACAACAAATTAAGAGTTGAAAAAAAAGAATGTAAGAAAGGCATATGGGACAAAGTTTTACAGAAAATATATGATCAGGAGAATTAGGCAGTCCATACCAAGTGTGATCTTGAATAAAGTTGAAAGTTAACACAGATCACTAAGCAGCTCTATACCTTAGTTTTCTTACCCTAATATTAATGACAGATTATAGTTTGCAAATACCTCTATACAACTTCTGAATTACCTTAACTATCACTGAAGCTATCCTTAAGAACATGGATAGAATTTATAACCTTATCTCTGTTCCCCTATACTACACAATTTCATTCACAATTTAACTTTCCTCCCCATTCCCAACGTATATACAGTATGTATTATTCAGCCAGCATAGACTCTATCTTCCTCTTGGACTTATACTTAAAAACCCAAATATTTTGCTTCAGTTCTGTGCTTTCCTGCCATGAAATAAGATCTTGTACTGGTGCTGCTCAGGATGAAAACACTTTGCTATATAAAAATCCTTGTCTGGCAACATGCTCTGCCTCAGAACAAAGAGATTCTGAACAGTAGTTTGATGGACATTCCTTAGAAATCATTTGTTCTCTGTTGACTGCTGTATACAGAAATATCACCTCTAGAACTTAAAAGAAAAAAAGGAGTCGCCTTACCTGATTCCTGTCACGTGCACTTGTGTACCTGATCTTCTGGATGAAGTAAAATATTAACCATGCTGAAGAAATTATCATCAAAACAATGAACGATATTGACACAAAGACTAGAGAGCCCCGACTGAAGTTTTTTGGAGGAACACGGGACCCCACTGCTATTGCCATCAGGACAGAGATATTCTTTTCCAAGTAATTCAGGATCTCCTTAACCTTTGATTCTGTAATCATGACAGCAACAATGTCTCCAGTTCCTATAAAAAGAGAAAAAATATTTAATTTACATTTAAAATTAACATGGCAGGCTGCTCACAAGATTTTCCAAATACAAAGCCATTTGACAACTGAGAGAATTTAATCTAAGCCATCTATGGCACATGGAACATGCTATTGGACAGTCAACTCATGGCTTGTCCTTCAAACCATGAAGATTTTCATGGTTTCAAATTAGGGCTTTAACCTGCAAACTGTCTGCAGCTCCACACAGAGCAACAGACCTCTACCAGTCGTTACACAGTACTTCCCACATTATAATTACTATGTGCAGTCTGAACTAGCTTTCAAAAGTACATTTGTTCCAGATTTGAAGCCATGAATACCTAAACAGGCAAATCACAGAAAACCATTTAGAAGATGAGTTCAATGCTATTGCTAGAGTGGTCTTAGTATACACAGTGCTGCGTACAAGTTGGTCTGGAAAGTTATGCAAGTTCTGCTGTGTGGTTCTGTGGCTTTCACAACCCACCAAGGTTGTCAGGGACCTGTAAATCACAATTACAGCACAGAAGCAACAAAGTCAAACCGTTACCTACATCACTTCAGACAGAAGTGAAAGTAAAGCGAGTAAGTCTGGCTGCAAAGTAGAAGAGAAACAAAAAAACATGGCAGAAGTTTGAGTGCTGATTTTATCCATACAAAGACACAAAGAGGCTGTCAGCTTCATCAGCTCCATTTTGTATGTGTAGCCCATCTGGTTTTCATAGCGTCTTCCTCTAGACTATCTGCTGTCCCAAAGGGAAAACTATTGGTACAAGGGTAATAAGAAAACGAAGTCACAAGACTTGCTGAAAAAGAATGAAATCACCTGCAGAGCAGAGAGCGCACCTATGTTTTAAAAGCAGAGGATCTTCAACTCAGGGCAATTTGAATCTAAGTTAAAAGAAAGCAAAGTTTATAGGAAAACCAGAGCCAGAAAGAAAAAAGCCTTATGAGTCCCATTATTATTCACCCAGATCTATTTGCTTCCTATACTAAAATCCCTTTCAAGGCCTATTTTCAAAATGCTTGCAAAGTCTGCTCATCTGTTTGCTCCATCTGCTTGCTCCAATTCACATTCCCTCAGAGAGGAACTGTATAATGCAAGCGACTTCAGCACTGAGATTCTGGATTTAGAGTGGATTTAAGTTACAGAGAACCTAGTGTGACAGTGAGAACATGAGGTCCTATTTTAACACAAGGAATTTGTTCAAAGTCTTAAAAATCAGATTTTGATTAAAAGAAGCTACTCTATCCACAAAATGATGTATAAGGCTCAAAAGAACAGCATCTTTGAAACCCAGGGCACAGTAAGTCAGGGTGACAGGCCCTGGGATAGCTACATAATTTTCCAAATTGGGGGCTTCAGAGTTGTGTAACAGTTTTAAATGTTATCTTATTACTCTTTTCATTCACCATGCCAAATAGTAATTTTTACAGTCGCTATCCTCAGTTTTCAAGCAAGTACCCTAATGTTGGTGCTGTGGATTGTACTGACAGAACTACTCAGAAGAATCAAAGCTGATAATGTAAGAAATTAAGAATTGCACAATAATGAAAAAAATATTCCACAGCACCAAAATTGTTTTTCCCCAAAAATTTCAACTTTTCTTTATTTAAAATTGAAATGATGAAGACATTCATGCCTTGTCCTAGTAACATGAGTCTAAATAGGAAAAGAATACTCAAGTGTTTCCTTCTGAAGGAGTATTTTTGAAACAAGAGTCACAGTAACTCAAAAGCTTTGAATAGCAAACAAAATCCAACACAATTTATGGACACAACTTACTTAATCGCTAATACCACAGATTCACACAAGGTCCACTTTAGTCCAGCTCTCCAGAGACACTTCAGTTTGAGACATACTGAGTTTGCTTTCATGCAAACTAACCAAAATATTTAACAAGCAGCAAAGCTCAGAAACAGAGTAAAAATCCATCACTTGATTTATTTTCAGAGGACATCTACTCCGATTCCTATTTGTCCAGTTGGGAAGAGCCCCTGTCCAGACTTGCAGCACTTAATGACAGGACAAGAGCCACCTTTCCTGCAAGATTCTGTATGTAGATGCAGCACATGCTCCTGCAACCCCAAAACCCTGCAGCTCAGATGGTGCAAGATCATTCAGAAACAGATAATTTATACTGTTTATATTTTTTCTAGGCTTCACGTCTAGTTCAGATAGCGAAGAAAGGCAGGGAAGGGTGCGGGGGGACCATATTCCCCAGAGCAGATGTTCTGCTAAGCTTCCCCAGTAGGTATTTATTTGCACCAAGGAATTACGTTAGTATCAAAATATCAGTCAGAAGCACTCAATGTAGCATTCTGACATGATTTACAGTTATCTGCAAAGCAAAGCTGACTAAGATCTTCTGATACTAATCCCGTTCTGTCTGAATCAAAAACTGAAGCCTTTACCTATTCCCTGCTGGCCAGGGAATGTGACAAAGCTGACAATCTGTCATGCGTTTTATATAAAGCCCAGCACAAAGGGGACCTCTGGCATCACTGCAAAGTGATTTGCATTCCAAATGACTCAACTGGGAACAGCCAAAGAGCTACTGCTGCTTCTGACCCTGTGAGAGCCAAGGAGAACTGCAGAAAAGAAAAAATAAATTGTGCCTGTTTAACACACTGAAGCTCAGTGGAAACTGGGACTTGGTTCATCCGTATTTTTGTCAGGAGCATCACCCTAAATAATTTTAGCAAGAGCTCCCTATTTGAGAACAATTGGGGGCAGGAGACGACACCGATTCATTTATTTTAAGCACCTTGAAACCTTGCGTTTCTGAAACTTAAGCAGAAGAAAAATCCTCAGGTGAACACAGAAAGACTACCAGTGTTTGTAAAAGTTAGAATATGGTCTTACTACATAATCTTAAGAAAAGCAATGCTCTCCTCAGCCAAGAACACAATGTCCAGAGAAAAGAAGCTGGAATGCTAACTAAAGCCAATGAACTACACGCTCAACCATAGATGACAAGCCAGGACAGACGGTAGGCATAAGATAAATATTGACGCCCTTAAATGTAAATAATTTAATTGCTATCATCCAAGCCCAGGCAGCTCTTTCTAGCTTGCAATTTTACCATGTGCATGTTTAATTAGGATAGTTATACAATTCTACGTATGAAGTGGGATGAAGTTGCAATTAATCATTAAATTTGTGTAATATTACATTGGGAGATGAGAAGAGAGAAGGACCTAAAAGCTGAGAAGACACTAAAAATAAGAAGATGGGGCAAACAGCAACATCCAGAAGTTTCCTGTAGAGCTCCTAAGGAAACTGCTTTGCTCTCTCACTAATCTATCCATATCTCCTACCAATTCTAAAAGAGGACATTTAGAAAGTCAATAGAAAGTCATCTCAAAGATAGATTACTAGTCTCATCACAAGTAAATAATTGCTTTCTTTTGTGTTTGTTTTGTTGATTCTTGACTACCAAGCGTTTGTCTGAAGCTCAAAATATGGGCAACTATGGCCAGGCTACCAAGCTAAAGACAGGCATGGTTCAAAGAGCAGACTTCAGACACTTTCCATCCGTCTACCATCCCTTGGAGGATGCAGGCAATGGCAGCCTGGCATAATGCAACTGCCAAACAAGCTGATTTTCTTTTGTTTGTTTGTTTTTTCCCCTGGGCTTGTGGACAGCCCAAGCAGCTGTTTGGTCAATACTTCGGGAGAAGGACAGGTGAGACAATTCCTCCTGGGCATCTGAACAGCCTGGCACCAAACCACTGTTACTGCAATGCTTCAACCACCTTCTTGCAGATGAGGAGGACAAAACCTGAGATCCCATCTCAAGCACGGCAAATGTTGGAAGAGGCACTGAACTAATTTGATTTGATGTAACAAGATTTGCAGAGAACTGAGAATTAAGTCAGATGGTCATTACAAAGGTTAACACTTTTCTTATGGCTGATATTTTCAGCTAAAGTCCTTGTAATTTCCTAAGTCTTTGATAGTGCCTGCTGACGCTGCAGACACAGCATGAAGCAGATAGACTGCACTCATCTCACCCTTGTGAAAGAACATCGTTCTCTCTTCAAATAGCAGACAATATTTAATTGTAACTGAATCCTTTCATGACTTCATTCTGAAAAACCTAAACTTAACACACATTTATCTGAATAATTCTGCTGGTGGAAATTTCAGAGTACTTCCTCAAAAAAGCAAACAAAATCCCCACCTTCTTAATAAAGGTACAAGAATGGTGCAGACAGTCACTTGCAGGCTGGATTCAGGGCATCATTCACACATTGAAATGCCACAGCCTATTGGACTGCAACAATCCGAACATCATAATGATAATGTAATTGGAAATAAAACTGCCCATCTCTTCAAACATCAGACTTTCCTATTCTTCTATTAAAATCCCATAACTATGCTAAGCATTTCTGAACACATTATATCAGAAATAAAAATACAGCAACACACTACTCAGTACCCAGGAAAGGGATCAGTCCTATTACTGCGAGTGACAGATTTCTTGGAATAACATTAAGTAGCAGTGAAACCACTCCAACAGAATTTGGGAGCCCACAAAACAAGGAAAATAGGAAAACACAAATGATGTGCTATGGTTATATATGAAGTTTTGAGAGACCAATTGCAAGTTCTGTGAAAACACCAGGAATCACCCAAGCTGTAGGGGAGCAGAAGCAAGAATTATCTCTACAAGGTAAGGGATTTAGCCACAGAGGATGTAATTCATGGAACTCGCAAGGTGAGGTGAGGAAAGGGAAAAGTCATACTGAGCTGTATGCAAAGCTGCTAGAAAAGGTGGGCTTGGGGAGCACAGCTTTTACATATAAATTCCATAGTACTTAACGACATTGGGGAAAAATACACAAGTTATTCAGACACCTTAAAATTTTAGTCTGATGCCAAACAGAAAAATTCATCGTGAAGAATAAATCTTACATTCCAAAACAAGCTTTTGGAAAAGCAGACACCAAGAGGAAGAGCCTTGGCGTATCTTCAGAGTGATTAAAACAG